CAAGAAACATTACCAAAAAAAAAAAAGAAAATCGACACAGACCGAGCGTACTATTACCATGTCAGCCAGTAATTTTTGAATGCCATCACAGAAATGACAACATGAATCATTCACTCAATCTACCCCTAGTGGCACACTTAGGGGTACATTAGATAAAGATTGCTCCTGAGGCTCAAGGAGTCTTTGCAGCACAAGTTTAATCTCTTTGTTTCACAGCTTAAGGGGCAACTTCAATCCAAGTTGCAGACTCAAGTCACCACTTCTGCCAGTTTCACAGCTGCATTGTAAAACTGACCATTCCACACCAGCACATCAAGTGGCTTCAACAATTTGAGCACATTTCTTTGTCACAAAGCCTAAAAAAGAAAGTATGAAGGTGTGTCCTTCAGAATGAGATCACTGAAGGCAGCCAATCTACTACAAATGTTCACAACTTTTCAAGGCTGACAATGTGGAGTTACACAGACACCCTAGCTCTGCAAAGTATGAAGCAAAATACTTGCTCCAGTTTCTTTTGGGAGTCTTGAAACAGTTTGCACGTGCATGTTCAAGATGACTAATCAGAAAGGAATCAGAGTAAGAGTGAATGGCATGGCTTTGTTTAGTTAACATGCTAGAGCGGCTGTGCTTTGTGCCTGGGACTGACCCACTGTGAAATCCAATCACCACAAAGAGACAGTAACTTTTACTGGGGCAGGATGAGGAGGAAACTCAGGATGAGTTTGGTTTTTAGTAAAGTTACACAAGTAGAAAAACTGCATGACTGGGTTTTATGGAACACAGACAAAACAATGACGGAAATATGAAGGTTTATCTTTTCTGCGATGTTAAATTGATGTTTTCAGTGCACACATGGGAGTAATGAGCATGGTGCGGTTGTATGAGCCGTTCATTATCATGCCCACGCAGAGATTTGAGTCACTTGGGTGGCACTGCCACACAATAAAAGCTCAGGCGAAGGTGCGGGACGTCTGGCTGAGGTGACGGAGAGCAAAGCGGGGCTGCTGCAGGTTCACCTTCTGTGCAGTGGCTCTGGGGCAACGAGTGTATGACAGTGATGCGACACTAAAAGCCTTCCTGTCAGGGAAGCGGCCGGACGTCCTCCAATCAAAACACGGAGGCTTGGGGTGACATTTCACAGGCCACAGCTGCTGGGCTGCGACAGCATGCCAACTCACTATTCCTGACGGGTTGTTTGTTTAGCGTGTGTCATAAGTAAACGGGTGTCACTGCAGGAGTTGTGTATTAATGTGTGTGCATACTTGTCATACAAACTCGCCTTTCTCATCCCAGTCATTATTTGACTAATCTTGAAGTTACATTTTACACCGGCTCTCAATAAGAATGTTCCGTTCTTATCAGCACCAGCGAAGGTGTGCAAAAATGGACATTTGCCAGTTTCATGACTCAGACAAGACAGCGAGAGGAGCAAAGAAGTAACATGACTACCCAGCTAAAGACCTCTGTAAAATGACACTATTTAAGATTTAATTCACTGTCCAGCTTAAATCCTTAGACAAAAATAAGGTTTCTGCAAAAAAAATTTACCGTTTAAACAACTTGGACTCAACTTTTCAGAATTCTCATTTCTATATTCATTTTAAAATATAAAATCAAATGTTCACCATGAATTTAAGGTAGATATTTCTCCTTGCTAGAAAAGCGTACAAGGAAATACAGAGAGACAAGGTAGGAGAGAAGGAAGAAAGGAAGAGAAGGAAAAAGGAAGGGAGGAAGGACAACGTTTGGACAAAGGGATCGGGAATGAAGTCGCTAAATACAAGTAGTTTGCCACATTTATTTTTCTGTACTTTTCCAGACCTAGAAAATAATGACACTTCCGTCGTCCAGACGGCGTTTGAACCATGAAAAAAAAAAGAATCAATTTAACTCTTCTTTAATACATTTTGTAACAAAACAATGCAACACCAGGAATTTTTAAAATCTGAATCAATCCCCAAGTGACTACAAGCAAAAGCACAAAACAGTCCACAATTTAAATTTAAGTCATTGCATCACATGAATTCTCTCCCGTAGCAAATATAAACTTAAGAGAAAAAAATGCCAATGACAAAAATAAGGCTTTCATGACCCCAGGAGCCCATATAATTTTAGCCATGAACCAATTGGCCAAAATAATACAACTAAATATGAAAATATTTACTCGTTATGCACCAGAAGAGACACTTCTGATACACTGCAAAAATGTGTGTCGTTTTGTATTAACATATTTACCAAAACTCTGCAGTTGCTATTTTAAGGAAGGCTTTTGTGTCAGCTAGTCCTCAATTGCTTAGCTGCTGTCAATGCAATTTAAAAAAAAGACAGTGAGTAATAGTTTTACAAGCAACCAAGTTAGTAAACCAACATTCCCGGTAATGAAATAAGATGACCCAATCTTTACATGGGAGGAGGGCAAAAGCTGCGTCATCCTTAGACTGAACTCAGTCTTGAAGTTATAGCAACATCCCAGCAGCAAACTGCTCTTTGTAAGTGATCTGCTCCTATTACCTTATCCATTAAGTTACAGTTTCCCCCTTTCCAGTAAAACTTCTTCTCTGGCTCGGAGCCCAGGAGGTTTGAGTGGTTTTGGAAAAGTTTCTTATCCTTACTTTGCCCCGGGTGGTGATGGAGCAAGCTCTGCGAGGAAGCCGCAGTCGAAAGGCAGAGTTAGTATGCACACATAAAGCTGCTCAAAGCCGGCAGGTATGTGAGGAATGCCTTTTCGTCCAAACAACGGGAATCACGCCTGACACAGAACCATGCCAAACACCACACAACACTGTTGGTGGGGTGGGGGGGACTCAAAAAGGCCCCTCAGGGGACTCTGCAACCAAAATTTACAGATTAACAGCTTGGATTTTTTTAAATTGAACTGCTTGCTCATTTAGGGGGAAAAAAGGCAGTGTTATATTCTCAACTACTTGTGTGAAAATGGATCAATTCCAATGAATGCTTAAAGTCTAAATTTAAAGCTGAACGCAAACATGCATCAACAGGGAGTTTGAAAATATTTTTGCGCAATGAACATATTTTAGGTTCTTTACATAGTTTGAGTTCTGTGGTAGCTTGGTTAACCTACATGTTTGAACAGTTGGGGGTTGTTTGAAAGCAAGGCGATCACCATCGTCAAATGTAAATAGTAAGGCACAGTGTTAAAATTAAATACAGATGCAAAGAGATCTCCACTGGTTACTGTAATAGGATGACTTTTTGGCTTCAGTGTTGCTAAAGAGTAACCAACCACAAATTGAGAAATCTTCTTTTGTTCAGTAAATACCATGGTAAGCATTTCCAGGTCACAATGACACTCATTTTTGAAGATGCAGTTAACATATTAAGAAAACTATTTTCAGTAGAAGTAAGGTTTTTAAAATAAAAGACGAGGAATGTATATATAGCCATTTAAGAGGAAACTTCTGCATGACATACTGTTCATTCTGCTGCAAAGGGTGAGAGAGCGCAAAACCTAAAGCAGATAGCAGGAAAGTGGTGCAGAGTAGACCAAAGTCCCTCCAGTGCATTTTTTTAGACCTTTCAACTTCACGCTGTTGTGAAAAATGCTTAATTTGATCATTCAAGCAGCGTTTTGAGAAGCTTTTTTCTATGTACATTCTTTGTAACATAGTTCAATGTTCTTGCTCGGACATTAGGGTTCCTCTTCTCCTTTGGCTTCATAAACTAGCTTTATGGTTGCAGGGATGAAACAGTTTCTAGTTTTAATGTATTGACATTTTCAAATAAAATTACCATATTATCATTAAAGCCATATTTGGTGACAGTGGTCAAACGTTCTTCTATAAAAACTCACCATCTAAGACGCTAATTGTTAGCGTTTCTAAAAAAAATAAAAAAAAAATAAAAAAGCATAAAGAAATTTTTGTCCCCAATATAAGGAGCATTATTCGTCTCCTCCAGCTGCCTTATAGACCAAAGGTAGAAGCAAGGCCAGGTAAAGTTTAGGCTTGACACCATCTTTATATGGGGTGTCCAGAGTGCGGCCCAGAGGCCATTTGTGGCCCTTAGAATGACTGTATCCAATATATGGACTGCTAGCACAATTGTTTAACACAAGTTGTTTGTATTAAACAATAAATTGCACTGTTTAAGAAAACCTTTTTCTTAAACAGAGATTTTTACTGATCAAGTAGAATCTTCTTCCAATGAGAAAAATCAACAGCTTTTTGCTTGTTAAAAACAATTCACCCCTACAATACATGCAAATATGTACAAAGAACAACACTATTGAATCACCTTCCCCCACTAGTACTTCAAACTAGATAATTATGGTGCGTGGCAAGAAGACTGGACATTTTGGGGTCAGAGAAAAGTGTTTAATAGTGTTGAGATAGCAAAATTTCACAATAAGGACCTTAAGCATTAAATAAAGCATGCTAACGTTTAAATAGCATATTTTGAAACTGATGTAACAGCTTTTCAGTATCCTCTTTGCTTGTAAAAATCCGAATAGTCCGATTGTTGGGTGGACAACATGTTGGACTGCAGAAAGTTATTTGTTCCAGATAGATATAACGTAATGCACAAGACATTCTGTATGTGTTGGTGAGAGTGAGCAAATAAAACAAAAATGCTACTTAAAATTTTGTGAACATTAAATCACTGCAATGTAGCAAGATCACCCTGTACCCTGCAGAGATGTGATAATTGTTTACCTTTTAAATTAAGATATGTATCCCTTTGACTTTGGCAAATCAGTTTGAGACAAAATGTACAGAATGTAAGTTTTTAGTATGGCAATGTAATAAAAAAATAATAATTCTATATGACACAAGCTGATAAAATTGTCCAAACTCATAAAACTCTTCAAAAATGTACTTGGACCCAAGGAAATTACAATGAATTAAAAACTGTGATTTAAGTAGGAAAGAAAAATTGTGATATAATTGCCCAGCCCTTAAAATCCTATCAAGTACTGCCTTCAAGCAGCATATTTATAGTGAAAGATATGTGCAGCCAAAACACATGATCAGTGTTTTTACCTCTTTTATGCAGCCATCCCTCCTTGACGATCACCACATTGGTCATGTTGGTGGACAAGATGGAGGATCCAGGTTTCCCACCAGGAGAGACACAACTTTGTTTCCTTCACTCAGCCCAATGCAGGAGCCTGCAGATGGGGTCCTGGGGTTTAAGGCCGCCTTCTCAATGGTGGTAACCTATTATTCGAGGAAAAGTAAAAATTAGCCCCAAGTTGAGGTGAAAGATCTTTTTCCATCTGTCTAAATTTTAACCCTCAGGTCAACAAAGCAGATTGGAAGCAGTGCAACGGAGAGGATCCTCGTGCTTTATGGCCCAGCCAAAGGAGGACATGCTGCAGCAACAGTGGTGTCGTTTTAATAAGAGGAACCTGCAACATTTCAAGGTTCAAATGACGGTGCAAGGCCGTGTGTTTTGGCATTCATGAAGTCTGCCATATTGGAAAATTCCACACTGTTCACAACCTGCACAACCATTCCTGATAGACCAGGAGTTTTCCCCTCCACGCATGACCAGAGCTGCTCTGAAGAAGAAGGGAAAAAATAAAAATAAAAAAAACATGGCATGACGTCAAATCATTCTCACACAAGCTACACACTTTAATAGGTTGTCAGGCTTGTTTTGCTTTTGTATCAAAATTTATCCTTCAGCTTTTAGGATTGCAACACATTCACATTTTCCAGCTGCTGCAATAACAACTTTCCTCAAATATTAATCCAGGGATGCAATTTTAACCCAAAGGTAACTTCATATCGTTTCAAAAAAGAAAACGTGCAACAAAAATTTTTTACTTGTTGTGATTAAAATCCTTTCGATATGATCAAAGCAGTACAGACACATTCATGGTTGAGGGGGTTTCCAGTGAGGTGGAAGACTTAAAAGAAAATTTGAAAAGTCAACAACAGCCAGTAAATAAATGCTTTGCTAAACTCAAGTGGTTGCGACTTGCTAACATGCATTATGTGTATTTGGGCAGTGCAATATTTGCGATATAGTCAAATAAACAGAAGTAGTTTGTCAGCTGTATAATTTAGTAAACGGAATGACTAACAAAAACTGCCAACTAAATTTAATTGTCTTAAGTTTAATTACTTGTACAGTGGACAGCAGGAATCCATTTGGACCATAGTTTCTGCACATTCCAGTATCTCATTTAAGAACTACTTGAATTAAAAAAATAATTATAGTAAATTACTTTTCTTACTTTCAAACTGGCCTTAGAGTGCTCTGGTTTGTATCCTCGATAAACCTAAAGGCATATTGTAGCATATTTAGTTCAAAATGAAATGGCACCCGAATTCCTTTGAGCCACCCGTGATCTTCTCAAAAAGATGAAAAAAGCAATAATAATAATAAAAAAAGTAACGACTTGGCTTACCATATTTCAGACCTACATCGGAAATCTGGATGTATCCTTTAATTTTTCAAAGGTTTGAAACTGAGAATTAAAATAAGTTCCTGTAGAGACCCAGATGGATGAGACTGTCTCAGTTGTCAACAAGCAAGTTAAATGCACACAATGCAAAGCACTGCTGCAGTGCATGAGCATCTAAAACGCAAGCATTGCACAGCCATATGCCAGCCTTGCGTGGTTAAAGGTGAAAACACATCTGGGCTCACTGAAGTGGAGTCAATATTTCTATGTGAATCATTTCTCTCTATTCTATGGTGCCAAAGTGGTGGCACTTGAAAACAAAACTAAAAAGCCTGGCTGCTCAACAAGCTGTGGAGGAGCGCGGGTAACCGCTCAGACACCTCAAGTGTTTATAACCTAAAGTTTCAGTCAGTTGGGTTAGTGTGTTAGTCAAAATTTCTGCAACAACATTATTAATAATGTTTGCAGTGATGTTTATGCAAGATTTTAAAAAGGCGTATTGCAGAAAAGATGTGAGGCAAATACAATTTCAGTCAAGTCTAACACATTAGAGGCATTAGAGGTAAATAAGATTAGTTTGTAGTCGTTATCCAATCTGGAGTTTGTGATTCGACACTTAAGGGCTACTGCAACTATTTTTTAAAGAACCTGGACTTTTTTGATCAGCTTGAGATCTCATAACCTAAAATAATCGAGAGAAACCACAAATTTGGCTAGTTGCCCGAAAAACCTGGTTCAATACTCAAAAATTGGACCTGTATCTAGTCATTAAATGCACCACACAAAAGTACTACCAAGCTGTGGTAACAACACTGCTCAGTATGCAAGTTGTTACTGAAGGAAGATAAATCAAAGGTAATCTTAGTATGAATAAGTATTAAAAACTGAAGTAAGAAGAAGCACAGCGATGCAAGAAGCAAATTAAAAGGAAATTGTTTTAAATGTCTACGCATTTCCATGGTTCATCAAGTCTGGAAGGTTCTGTCTTAATGACATTGTGAACATGGGAAATACGGAAACATTGGCAGATTTAAGAAAATCACAGAAAAGGTAAAGATCTGCGACAAACAGCTGTTCTTGTACTAGCTTTGCTACTCACCAATACAACATGCTAAAGTTTATTTATAATGTCAACTTCAAAATATTTACCAATCACAAAAATCTAATCAATGAAGAACAATTTATTACATGTTTAGAGAACAACTTCTGTTCTTGATTAGATGTGCAAAATGCAAAAAAAAAACAAACAAAAAAAACCATCACATTTGCAAAATGTCTTCTTGAGTGCAGACACATTGTTTATTCCAAAATCCAGAAATATGACACTTCATGGTGCTTTGCAAAAGCATTCATAAAGCCTAGAACTTTTTCAAATATTATCAACTTAAATCTACTTTATTGAGATTTAGTGTAATAGACACTCAAAATCTATTACACAGATTTTGTGTAATAGAAATAGACTTATTATAATAGTCTTATTATTTACCACAAAGTCCATAAATAGGAAAGTGGAAAAATAAAACCAAACATAAAGGTTACTCTTAAAAAAAAAAAAGAACTCCTGAAACTGTGGTGCACTTTTGTAAAATTTGGTAGATCCTACTCATCTTTCACTGAATTTACAGCAAAAGCCATTTGTTGTCTCTAAGCTTGACAAACTTGCCGCATCTAGAAACTGAAATTTCGTCTGCACGGTTCTTTGTCAGATAGCTCAGGCTCAGTCGGAAGGAATGGAGAGCATCGGTGAACATCTATTTTCCAGTCTCGTGAAAGATTTCCTGTTTGATTTAGGTTTGAGTTTTCACATATAAGTATGGTCTGATCTAGACGACTCCAGAGAAGCTCTGGTTGTGTGTTCGATGTTGCTGTTGTGCTGCAAGGCGAATTTCAGTCCCAGTCTCGAGTCTCTTTCCAGCCTCTAACAGGTTTTCCCCTAGGATCTCCCTGTGTTTATAGCTCCATTCATCCTTCCCATCAACTCTGATCAATCTTTTCAATATCTTGGAAGATTTTAGGAGCATACTCATAAAAACTAAAAATAGTTCAATTCTATTTGAACAATTTTTTTTCTCATATTTGGAACAGTTAAATTGATGGTTACCAAAATATATATTGTTTAATGTTTAACTGATTTTGGAGTTTGCAATGCATCAGAAGAAAAAATAAATATAAAAAATACATTCCTTTACAGTATATGATCATGATTTCTTATTAAGCAATTAAAAATATTTTTAATAAAAGTGAATGTCCAGATGTGCAGCAGTCGCTACCATTTAAAGTCATGTCATATTCATAACATTTTTTTAAGTTATTTTGACTCATAATGCATCACAAAGAAGATTGGACAAAAATGGCTACTAAGTAAGATTGCTCGACATGTTTTGATCTGTTAAGTTTCTCCATGATGCTGTTTGCCAACGTTCTTAAAACAAACTTCTGAGGCCTTCACAGACAGTTATATTTCTACTGACATTAATTTACACATCACTCAATTAATTAGTAAATTTACTGATGTACTAATTAGTAAATTGAGTGTTGTGTAAATTGAATACATATGTACACCGCACTTTTCAGTGTTATTTACAAAACCATTCATCTTTTTGCTTCAGCTTCACACTCACTTGCCAATTTGTTTCACTCAATAAGATGAAATACTCTTGAGCTTTTGCATATTTTGATTCAAATCTCAATCTTCAAGGGATGTGGATACATTTGCAAGGCACAGTATGCATGGTTAAAAGGCATACAGGGTCATCTGATAGACTGGCTCAAATCCAAAACACTTATCAGTCATCCATCCACAGCTCACACTAAAACCCTGCAGGCCACCACTACAAAAATACTTGACACTTTGATCCATTCGAGCCAACTTCATAGAATATAAAGGCTGCTTTGAATTAAGGGCAGAAGGAAAACAATGATCAATTGGCATGCTTGCGTACACAAATGTCACACAGAACACCAGGCAATTCCTGACCATTGATTAAAATCAATTTTTCTGCAGCTGCATCAGAGAAAGGCCATCAAAGCAGAGAGAGAGAAAGAGCTGCGTTTCACTGGCCTCATTCAGTTTACTGGCGAGGCCAAACAACAGGAAGTGAATGTGTCTATTGACAGACAACAAGTCATATCAGTACAGCCTGGGGCCTAACTACATCTGTCACCGAGTGTGTGATCAACAAGTTTTTGCTGTGATGCTCTTCTCACTTCTACAAGTGAGCAGATTTGAGATTAAACCATCATAAGCAGAGTTATTTTTTTTGCTCAGAAGTAAGGAACACAGACACCGAGTGCAACTCAAAACTGGAGTTTGTTCAAACCGTCTGATCCCTTCAGCTTCATGACTGCACACTGTGACACAGGCATGAACACATTATACACACACTGGGATAACGTCGCATAAACAAACTTGATCGCACACAGAATCACAGTTTAAGAAGCAACACATGCACAAGGACTGGCTCTGGAGCCACAACAGAGCGCTGCTGTTTTAATAGCAGAGACCTGTTGCTACTGCAGCCTGTATGGAAAAAGCTGGGCTGCTGCCAGTGCTGCAGCCAGCAGCCACTAAATGAACCCAGTACCCCGACAGCGGGTCACATGGTCCACAGGCCTCTGGGCCACCGCCTGCCTGCCTGGATGTCCTCATGTCAGGGGCGGTTTTCAATCATTCATCTTTCTGGCTCCAGCTTCAGGAGGGTAGAAAGAGGCTGGAGGTGGGGAAAGAGAGGGGGTGGAAGAGACACCCCATTCAATGCAAATCAGTGTCATGCTGCAGAAGATGCCACACACCGAGCCTGTCAGTGAGCCAGACAGGACGGTCCCATGCATTTCAGGCAGGAAGCAGAAAATCAGGCCGACATCACCACACCACTTCCGTCATCGCAGATCAATAGAAACCGTTTCTCCTCCGTTTTCTAGGTAAACAAGATGAGTCAGCAGCAGATTTGCCGCTACAGAAGGTTGAACAATTATCCAAAGTGATCGCAGGGAATTGAGAAGATCAAATAATCTCACCCGTTAGTGAAACTAGCCCCTGAGGCAGCACTTGTTTGCGTTCAAATGCCACAGTGGAACCAGTATTAGTGTGAACCACTATACAGTCCCAAGTTCCTCTTTCAGGTTCCCTGAAAATAGACCATTGATAATAAGAATATTGCAGCAACTGTGGCCGAGCAACCATGAAAGAAAAGTAGATGTGTTGCAATGACTTGAAACCTTGATGACTCACGTTAATGCATTTACTTATAAGCAGTTCAGACAAACTGATGTCCATGTCAAAGAAGCAACACGCTCAAATCAAATGGCAAAGAGAACACAAGCAGAGTTAATAAAACCTCACATGTCCCAAGCAGGTCTGCATCCCGATTTTGTCTGTTCAAAGCATCAAGATCTCAAACAACACTCCTCAGATTCCGCATGTAACCATTTACGTCAACATAACTGCGAGGGGGTATTGGGTGGGAGGTGACTGGTATTTTTTTTAAAAAACAGAACATTGAGCGAGCCAAGCAAGTCACCGGCTCCTTCATTACGCCAGCTTGTTGCGTCTTCGCCGGGTCACATGCCAGGCCCCCGTTGCGTACACACAAACGGTCCGACGTAGTCTCATGACCAGTACAAACATTCTGACACTTGAAGGCATGAAGGGTACAGCATGCCTGGGGACAGTGTTGTTCTACAACTCTGGGAAACGGAGACACGCAGAGATTACAGAGTAGAAAACGTTTAAGACAAATCCAACCTTAAACCTAAATCAGATGTACGGACTTGTTTTTTAAAAACACTTGTCAAACTGCTGCTGCTGCAAAAAAAAAGAAATCAATCTATGCAACAACAAGCCATAGTCAGATTTTTTTATATTTGTATTTTTTTTTGTTATACCTCATTTAATCAAGAATAACTCTACTCTAGAAGACAACAACTCTCCAGTGAAATCACAAACGAAATTTGGCAACTAATCACACTTCTTTTGTGCATATCCACATGTATTTTCTTATTTTCCCTTTATATGCATCTTTTTAAAAATAACTTTCTTTTATTTAAATTTTGTTTAATTGTATTCTGAACAACTGCTGCAAAAATGGAGCAGCTGTTTCAGTCAAAAATGGAGGCATTCATAACACTACATGGATCTCAGGAATGTTGAGCTATAAAACAAATTAAAGTGGTGAGTGAAGTGAGTCACAACAGACTACAAGGGACAGATTATCAAATGACATTTAATTGATACCGTAATCAAGCAGCAATAAAACACAATAAGCTACTAATCACTAAAATTTACCACCAAACAGGCTCCAAACACTTAATTGCAGCATGCATGTACCTGGAGTACAGCCCAAACCATTGCCATTCTTCCAGTCAACAACAGAAGGAGGAAGTAAGAAAAAGGAAATAAAATCCCATTGCTTGACCTTCAGAAAGTAGTTCTTCAGGTGAGCTAAAGTAGTCAAGATTTCAGACTGCAGGAAGTACCTCGTTACTGGAAAAACCCATACCCACTCAAAGTGATAACACCTGGAGAATAGCTTTAACTCGTTTGGCAAGTAGCAAAAATCCAAAGAAAACAAATATCTTTAAAAAAAATTAAATAAATGGATGAATGCATACGAGTCTGCTTTCCCATCACGGCTGTGGGGAGTCAAACTATCATAAAGCTGAATCCCTTCTCAAATACTACTAGAAAGCGTGAGAATTAATATTACAATTTGTAAAAAGTAACTTATTTGCTACATTGTCGATATATTACTCACTATGGGTGTTGAGCATTTCATTCACATCACCATTTTCACCACCTTTGCAGTTCTGCTAATTTTGTACTCAACTTAATGTGGTTTCGAAATGATGTCTTCTACCTTGGGACTTTTAGTCCTGACCAAGTCGTACCCTTCAAGTTTCATACCCACTTTCACAAGCATCTACTTAAAGCAAGCTTCTATAATTTACTCATGGTGAACTTCAAGTTACACTTTTATTTTAGATGCAAGGTTTTGGACTGACAGGAACTGTGTGTTATATTTCTGAAAACGGCAATGTTTCACAAACATGGAAAGGATTCAAATGGCCTCATCCTTTGCAGGAATTGGCTTTAAAAAAAAAAAAAAAAACCCTTAGACTTTGTAGATTATCTTTAATTCGAATGAAATTCAAGTTATATGACTCAATATTTACCACTAGGTTATTTAGAGTTATCCATGAGAGATATAGCTCGAAATATTGAGTGTAGTGGAAAGTTTTCAGTAAAAGCAAAGTGATGCACAGTCTACATGAATAAATGGCTTGTTTACAGGTATGAAATGGAGTAAGAATTGGTCAACCTTCTCCATTCTTGTACCCATTGTGATGTCATCCCAAAAACACAAAAAGCAGAGTTTGTGTTTTATCTTCTCCCTACTGCACTTAAAAAAAAAAAAAAAGTGGAAGTCAATGCTTTATAGCACATCTCTGTTTTTATTGTTAGCATAGACTTGCTGGTTTTAAAAATAGAAATCTCTGCATAGTAACTTTAAACTTCCATCAACATGCTTTTCAACATGCTCGCACAAATAAACTCAGTGATTTAGAGCAGATACGAACAACTGTCATTGCTGTAGGTGGTGTTGATAATGACAGTGAAGACATGAAAAACATGCATTATCTCATTGCACTGATTACTAGAGTGGAAAACTACAAAATAACACTGTTGTGGCCACTTTTCTCCCTTAAGACCTCCCTGAAGTTCTAAATTGTGGACCAAGGGAGTTAAAAGGCCCCATTTTGAGAGTCACAACAAAGGTGGGCTACTGTTATCTCTGTTACTGTGATAATTTAAAACAACAAAGATTAAACGTTTGGCAATCGAGTAGATAAACAAATACAGAGGTCGTTTTTATTAAACAATGAATGAGCTGCCCTCCTCTTGTTGAGCTCATTTGTTTTCATTCGCCTCCCGGGGCCATAAAGCTCCAGCAAAAACAACTTTTCCAGCAGAGGTGGACAGTTTCAAGCACAAGCAGATACTCTGGCGTGCTCGCTGAGGTCATTGTCATAAACTGAGTGGTTTACATCTCGAAAAGTGGCCTAAATGCTGCATAATAATTCTTAAAGTTGTATTTATAAGCCGACTTTTCTTGTGGAGTAGCTCCATCGGTAAAGAGAAGCCACAAAAGTGGCTAACTCCAGGTTTGCTTTTAGCAATAGAAAGGGGCCTAGCGGGGCAGCTTGGGTGAGAATAACCGCATCTCATGTTAAGTACAATGGGGACCTACCCTGTTTTAGCCCTCGGCCTCTTGTAAACAACCATGCGAAGGAAAAGGCGGACATTTACCTGGACAGCAGCTCAACAGTGTGCCCGTCTCATTATACTTTGGTGCTTCGGCGGTGTTTTAAGTTGGTAAGTCCTTCAACAATGTGGACAGAAGTGCTCTCATTTACTCCGTTTCTCTTTGCCTTTCTTCCACTACACCTCCCAAACGCGCTGTCTGCTGTGCCTCTGTGGCAGCCCGCCGTCTCCCGGGTCCTATCGCCCACCTCATATCAGTCGTGCTCACTGGAGGAGTGTCATTGAAAAAAACATGTGTACTGGCCTCGATGAACCCTCTGTTCTATGTAAGCTGCTAGGTAGTTCCCAGTAATACAGGTGCATCTCAAAACAGCAATATATTTTTAAAAGGTTAATTTATTTAACTGATTCAGTTCTAGAAGTAGGATAGCAGAATGTAATATAAATATCCTGTACACAAACATGCAAAATTAAAGGAAATACACAATAAATTCAAACAGAAGCACCCAGTTTTTATTTTTGAAAATGACTCAAGTTATGTTATCTAATCCTTCCTCCATAGAAAAAAATATGTTTTAAAGCATCAATAAAAGGTTCAGATTAATGTGACATTGATGCTGACTGTGAGTGTTTGCAAACTTCTGACAAACAGCACTGAGATTACATTACATGTAATGGTGAGATTATTCAGCAACTGTCCACAATTTCAAATTGTTCATCTGGGTGAGCATACTGTGATTTGATGTCTCATGAAACTACAGAATAAAATCTGAGGACTGAATTAAGAAAACCTGCTTCTGGGCTGGTAACTTGTGTTTGTGTTTCTATTAGTTGTGCACTCTAACTTTCATGGAAAGGGGCAAGAGTTAAACCACTGTTGAGGGAAAGCCATTAAAATAATGTTTAAGTTTGTCATAAGCCATTTAAGGATATAGCAAATATGGAAGACATTTCTTTTTCTGACAGGTGAGTCCATAAATAAACTTATGAAAAATGTTGAATAGGGGATAATTAACGCTGCAAACTTTGCCTTTTAGCAGTGTAAAAGCATGCTGTCAGAGATACATTGGAATGGTTTAGAAAAATTAACACTATATGTCAAACGGAACACAGTGAAACATAGTAGTGGCAGCATCATGCTGAGGGATGCTTTACTTCAGCAGCTACAATGAAGCTAATGATGGAGCGAAGTACAGGGGTGGGGGGGGGGACCTGTTGCAAAAGACTCAACACTGGGGTGAAGGTTCACCTTTTAGCAGGGTAGCCATACAGTCAGGGCTACAATAAAATAGACTACATCAAAATATGTTTATATTCTAGAATGGCCCAATCAGCATTCAGACCTGTTATTTGAGAATAAGTGGAAAAACTTGATGTGTAACCGATGTTCACAGAAGCTCTCAGTCCAGTCTGTCTGCAAGGAAGATGGACAAAGATATCATTCTTTAGATGTACAGAGACATTTTACAAATGATTTGGAATAATTAAAAATTATTCCACAAATTACTGTTTTACTCAAAATATAATTTTCATGAAATTTTTTTTTTCTTCTTTAGAATTATGTGATAACTTGTGATGGTCTTTTTTTTCTGACTACTAAAAAATAAAATATCACTCAAACACTGAATTGTGTGGTTCTAGTCGGTTGGTTGTCTTACAAAGCATTGTGACTGAGCTTTAAACTACTAACTACTTTGCTTCGAAATTGTTTTTGGAAGGACTGAAAAGAGAAACAATTCAAAATGGAACATTTTATTCCTCATAAACTTTACTACAAGAACTATCATTTAGAGAGTAAAACAAATGTGAAAGTAAAGGTGTGTATTTATTGGATTTATAGAACAATGCTTTTTAAAAGACTCTAGGTGCCTGCAGCCCAGAGCTCACACATGTTGGTAACAGATGATATTCTCCAGAAATGCAGCTTACTTTCAAAACAGCATCAGTTGGCCTTCTAAGTTCCCGCACATTTACAACAATGTGAAAACCTGAAGTGCTGCTAACCATATTCAGACTGCATACATTTAAAACATCCTTATACATTGACTTCTTGGGTGTGGTATTCGATCCCTATTTCTTCCTCTGCCTTCTAAAGATACATAGTTAAGTTTAAATGATGTTGTAGTAGAGCTACAATAAAACACAACAGTGCAGTAAGTAACTAGTGGATGACAGGATTCCAGCGACTGCCACTAGACTTCCTTCTGTGATGAAACATTTATTGTCTGCGTGCCCTCTATCTCCGAGTCTATTCTACTGTCATTTCCTCTTATTTTGTCACTTACTCTGTGATGTGTTCCTCCCTGTTACCATGAGTCAGCTTTGCCTGGCTGTTCCTGTCATAATACAAACAGAGCTCACAGAGGGAATCCCATACATTTTTTGCTTTTTGATGGAGCTCCCATCTCCTAGTACTTAAAAATACTCGATTGCAGTCACAGCTTAAGAAAATGAGAATGTTATGAAAAAGTTCATTATGTTTGAGAGTCATTTCAAAAAGTGACCAGATTCATTACACTTATAGTGAAATATTTCAAATCTTGTTTAAAAAAAAAAAAAAACAAGCAAAAAAACATTTGGAAATATTATAAGGTCATGATATCTTTTCTTAACCTAACTCTTCTTTACTTTTTTCTCCAGCTTTATCCCTGATGTGTCTGAGTTGTTGCTTGGTCTTCCTGAATCTATCTCTTCACTGATAGTCTCTATCAAACCTCTGAGACCTTCACATATCAGCTGTATTTAGACTGAGGTCATATTACACAGAGGTAAGTTATCTTTGCAAATTAGTTGACATCTGAAGGCATTCAATTGCACTGACTTTCTTTATTAATAAAATGGACCTTAAAAATAAATGCACACCACTGTTTTTTAGGTTTCTATTTGTTAAAAATGTGCCCAAGTTTGTGGTTCGAGAGGTGGGAATATAAGGCACTGCATGTAGAGATCATGTGCAGAAAATCTGCAGTGAACATCTGGTACAGCTGTACTCAGGTTCTGTGAAATATATTGATTTTCTAAAAGTATATTTAAAAAAGTGGTGTCAAGCGAGACAATTTTTTGGGGGTTTTTTTTCTGAAGCACAAACCTTCTCAGACTGACACCCACAGTTCAACCCACTGCCACCATGAGACATTGGTGCAGCGGGGAGAAAGATGTGGCTGGCTGGCTGGTTGGCCGGTCAGGCTACACTGGAATGTGGGGTCTTTTGTTTGTCTGGGAGAGGAGTGGGTCAGAGGGAGAATGCCATTGATGATTGCGGGGAGGAAGAATGAACCTCCAGGAAGTGTTCTTGCTGTCCCCTGCTCCCCCCACTCTCGTTCTCTCTGCCTCTCTCTTCCGTTTTTTTTTTTTTTTTTTTTTTCCCAGTGTGTGAGAACCTTCACCGTGCCGAGCCTCTCTCCGCTGAGGCCACGGTCCCCAGGCACAACCACTGCTTTGTCTTGCCCTGTGAACACACACACACCCCTCCTCTGCTGGGTGCCTACGTTTGCCAGGGTATGAGAAACACGGGGCCAAGGCTCCTATTCTTATCCACATCACTGCCCCTGGAAGGATGTGACTGTGTCTCTGTGCTTTGGTGCTGAATGATAAATTGTGTTTTTGCACACCCTCACTTTTAATTCATCAGGATTCTGTTAGTTTTACATCTTTTGTTAAGTTTAGTCTTGTTCTTATAGTCTACTGGTAACAGCCAGACTAAAAATGGAATAAAGTAGTAAGGGGATAAGAGTCTATCTGGTGGCCCCTTCCAACCAGTGGCTGCCTTCTCCTTTCACATTGCTCACTCCCTTCTGTGTCAGGAGGCTGCGAGGAGCTGCAAATGGCCCTTTCAAAGTGCACGACAGCTGGAACACGGGGCAAAGGTGACTGAAGCAGTTGGGGGAGCACAAGAAGGGCCAGAGGGGGGAGGAAGGGAGACAGAGGGGCCACGAGATGAGCAGCTGCAACTTCGAGCCCCTGTTTCTTCACATTGTCACCGCCTATTGCCTTAATGATTACAGAGGAAACTCAGGATGGTGTTTTACTCATTGCTTTTCAAAGGATTTAATAAAAGCGGTCTTTTGTAGCATAAATCTGGTTCAGAACCTGGTCTTGTCTGAAGAAACAAAAGCACTATTTTGGTTTGGAGCCAGGGATTTTTTATTTTTTATTTTTGACACAAAACTGCATCAGTGGATTCAACCTCCAGAAGTTCACAAAAGGCCACTGACCTGCTATGATACAATAAGGTATTTATGCTTCTTTAATCGGTTCAGATACCACAGAGATCACTTCTCTGAGGCAGAAAATAACTTCTTTCATCCAAAAGCAGATGTAAAACCACATGCAACATTTTTGAGAAGCTTGCTAAACTAATCAAATTTAAACTCTGGGTTTTGAAGATACTGGATATTTCTGAGAAAATGAAAGAGCTACATGGAATTCCCTGAGCAAATACAAAACTGAAGCCTCAATCAATTTTAGAGTTTTATTTATATTTATCAACTGAGAGACAATGTAGAAGAATAATAATTTGTGGAACCTGAAAATGTACCATATTTGAACTGATTTGTTTTAGCATAGATTTGAAAAAATGAATGAAGATACATCCCTGTAGCCCCAAATGTTAAAAATGACTTTGTTTAAAATGTTAGCAATTTTATTTAATATAATTTTTGTATCCTGAACATGATTCAGACTTTGAGGATGACTTATGAACATTTCATTGCATATCTAAAAAATCTATTTACTGTATATGTACACATGAAAGCTAGTGCACACATCTGGTAAATTATTAATTCAGGAGAAGGGTCCAACAAGGCAGCCTTGTACAACACTTTTTGGGGGTGTCAAAGCCCCAAAAATATCAGAGTAAAAGGGGCTGAAAGCAAAATAAGAGTGAAACATTTGAAAAATCTCAAGAGTCATGGCTACTTTGGCAACACATAACTTTGTAGGATATGTTAGTTTTAAACATTTATCTGCAGTTGTTCCAGGTTCGCCACACACTGAAGAGATTTATGACGCTGAAAGCCAGCCCTGTTCGTGGGACAGGTGTTTTAAGCAGACAGCAAATGTACTCTGCCCCCTCCCCTCTTCCAGTGTAGTACTCTGCTACTTGCTGCCGCTGTGTGAATTCGCGGAGTAGTACAGAACTTATTGTGGCGGAGTGCTATCGCGAGACTTGTGCCATTATCAACCTGCTTTGACACACACACAGCAGCGCTGTGAGCGCAGCCTGCCTGCCTTCCCAGGGTCGGGACTGGAAGCCTCAAGAAACGGCAAGAAGAAGCGAACATCTGGCCGTACATCATGAGAGCACCCCGGAGCTTGTAGAAGGGGAGGAAAAAGACGACGATAGGAGCGGTAGTACATGTAAGTAAGAGTGGGTGTTGTTTTCGTGCCTTTTAAAACGGAGAAAGCGAAAGTTAAAAAAAAAAAAGAGTGTCCCCCTCTCCGCTTCGTTCAGCGCAGTTGACTTTCTGCTTGTGAGTTCCTCCGCTGTTTAAAAGGCTCCCAGTACGGACACGGAGCTCGGTTTTCTCCTCCTTTTTCTTCTTTGTAAAACAAAGTGGCGCATAAATAAGAATTTTGCATCATAAAACCTTAGCGTCGGGGTGTTTTTCCATAAATACTTTTTATTCTCTTTAAACAAGTGCTTCCAGTTCAGAGCGTGTTTGAGTGTTCATTAAAACGCTGTTTTGCGATATTAAAAAGTTTAAAATACAGTAATGTAGCAGCACCTTTAAATACATTCATATATATTTTTTATCTAAGTTGTTAGGCTTTTTTTTTTTTTTTTTTTACTGCGTTGCCCAGCGTTAACATATGGCATAAAGAGGAGCACAGCTGGAGGTAGCGTTTCCATTGCGGTGATGTCAGAGCAGCTGACTCCACAGCTTGCAGTGTAATTAGCAGGCAGAGCAGCAGTTTACTCACTCTGCACCGCTCTTATTTTTTCACCTCAGCCTCCCGGACGAGCTCTTCCACTCGCATTCCCACTTGGTTGTCCCGTAAACAGCTTTTTCCACATTCGGAGAAGCCCCGGTGAGTGTGGAAGCGCAGGGATACTCACTTGGGAATCATTTGGAGGGGGTCCGTTCAATTCGTGAAGGGAGGGTGAGCGCAAAACTTTATATATATATATATATATAAATTAACTTTCAAGTTGGACAAAGTTAATGGTATTGAATTTTAAATTCAAAACCGGTCCAAGTTAGGAGCGGACCAAGCAGCTGTTTGGGGGCCCCTGAGAGCACACAAAATATGCCTCAAAATTTCAAATTTCTGCTCTATAAGGACAATTTAAAATCTTAGAAAAGTAAATAGATTTTTAGATTTGTATGCATTTGTAGGATTGGATATAGACAGTATGGCCCTTTGCCCAGGATGTAGCTGTGTCAGAGGGCGTCATAACAATTATGAAAATTAAAAAAACAAGAACAGATCAAATGTAGGGTGTGTGACCTACACAGTGAGCACAGATTCCTCAAAAGACCGTTTAGGTATACGCAAAAAAAAAAAAAAAAAAAAAAAAAAAGCAAAAATTTTTATTTTTAAAAAATTTTGGTTTTTTTTTATTTT